GCCTGATGACGAATGAGCCTGGATAGCTCTCGATGAAAAATACCCTCCGCATCAGAACTGCAGTCCGTCGGGGCATAAGCCGACACGACAAACAGGCACCACTTTTTATGCCAGGAGGCATTGATCTTGATTGAACTGGATAACCGGACGGCGCAGAGACGACTGTTCACTGGGATCCAATCCAGCAAAGCGCGTTCAGCTCTGGGGCTGAGTGCAACTCCCACGCCATATATTCCACGAGTCATCGCTTCTGGGTCACCAGACACACGGAGGGAGAAATGTGAAAGAGCTGAGTTCATCCTTGGCGTTCTGAGATGCAGAACAACGCTCGAGTCTTGTATGCGTGTTTCGTGGACACGGCATACATCAATTTTAAGGGAGTACAGGGTTTCAGCAAGCATAGCCTGTTTGCCAATTTGACATAGAGTACGGATGTTAAAAGCTCCTATATAGAAAGGATCTCGTGGATTTAGAAAGGTGTTATTTTGTTTGCAGCGTGGAGCATAGGGCCCTTCGGTCAGATGACTGACAGTCAAATGGCCCAGCGACGTTTGCTTGTGCAGTGGACTTCAAGACTGTGTTCGGTTATGTCGACGGGTTGGCTATTTTCAACTCGCTTGCGCAAGAGGATATGCTCCAGGAGCTCGTTCATATCGAGCTCTGCTTGTATTCACACATTTCTGAGCATGTGAGAGTGTATGGAGGGCTCCCCAAAAGCTTTCCTACAAGCAATGGTGTCCGACAAGGAAGTCCGCTCCCTTCACCTTTGATTAATTTCGTTATCAGTGAGATGATGAGGTGAAGACTGGAATCTAACCGAGGACCTGATGTTCGAATCTCTCCTAGTGGGAACCTTATCCAACTAGAACATGCAGAGGACGTTCTTCTGACTTAAGCGTAAGCATCACCTAAGAAGTTGATCGAAGACATCAGCAACCGGAATTCAGCGCACTGTGAATACAGAGAATCTTGTGACGGCCTTTTCACTGCTCTTGTCCCAACTTACAAACGTTCCAACGGCAGGGGAATACCTGCATAAAAATTCGTTAGTCCAGAAATTCCGGCCTTGAAGTGAATATTAACTGCGGACATTGAATCTATCATAAAAACACTTAGATTTCTTGTACCACAAGGGTACTCCTGAAGGAATCACCGTATAGACGAATGCCTTCCAAAGAATTGAACAGTGTACAATTATTTCAGCAGACGGCATTTTGGTATCAATGTGCACGGGATTTGTGGAAAAAAAAACCATATTGCGTTATGGGTAGCCAAATGAATAGAACTATCCCGTCCAAAGATCACATTAAAAAGTGACCAAAAGTGCACCCTTCTGCGCAATGGTTTCCTCAGTGAGAAATCTTATCACTGGATCACATTGCACATGACCAGCTGAGACGTATTCCCATAAGGAGAATAACCGCATTGTGTTTTACATCTAACTGCTTCATTACCTACACAAACCAACAATCGTTTCATAAATCCTGATAAAGTGGTACCTTGAAAAAGAACTGAACAGCATCTGAAACGTACTGAACATCGACAAACACCACGTTGTCAGGTGTGGAGGAAATCGAGACCATCGATCGTAGTGCAGGCCAACAACGGGAACCCTATCCGATTCACAACGCAAGCATGTGGAGTCCGTAACTGACTGATCCGCTGGACAGCTCTCACAAGCTGTTGCGTTGTGGAGATGCGTTCCGAATGGGCATGTGCAGTCGACAGGATCCCCAGACTGCGGCAGCTGGACGCCTGTTTGTGTGTTGCAGATAACTGGTTCGATCCATTTGTAGGTCTTCCACGTCTACAATAAAACGGAACGTTGACATTGACCATTTGTAATACACCGGACTTGAAGATAAAGAAAACATCACTACCGGTACTCACTTGCTTGAAACTGATTTCCTCTGGCTCTGCACAGAAATGGAACTCAGTAGGAATGACCCAAATATAAAGTCCAATCTAAGGAAAATAGTCCCGAAGATATTGTTTTGGAGGTACTTTATCTTCGCACTTTACACATGACCTTCGGCATCAATGCCGTTGTTCCTATTGTAGAGTAGTTATCCTTGTTCAGAACCAATCCGAGAGAACAATTACACTATTCCTATAAGATAAAGACCTTACACATAGAATAGGGATCATCCAGATCACACCCAAAGCACGTGGATCCCACTACACATTTTGTCCTTGCAAATAAAAAATGCTTGTGATCGTCCAGATACGCCCTACATGAAAACAGTCTCTTGGAAGCACAAGGCTCCAACCTTTCAGATGCTGTTCACTCCATCTGGAGAATCCATCATAACTGTACCAGAGACCAACAAGAATTGGCCTGTCGAGAGGGCTCAGTTGAATTGAACCCAATTTATGAGCTGTAAACCACGTACCATGAATACATTGATCCCAGCGTCTATATTTTAAAACACCGGAAATTGAGACAGCGCGGAACATACAGCCAAGCATTGGGGGCTAAAATATCTTCAGTTAGTTCGGGGACTATGTAGTTACGCATTGATGGCGATAGCTTTGATGGACAAGCGATAGTGGATGCGCAACTGGGTCATTTCCGTCAGTGTCATTAACCAATGGTGAGTTGATTCCCGTGGTCCCCATCCACAGAGACGGCAGTTGTCAACCCGACTACGTTTACTGCCTAGTCGTCGTTGCCAGGTCATACAGTGTCGCTTCCACTCAGCACAGGGATGGACAAAATGGGGTTTGCGAAGCGGACCGTCTTCTGGCATGATGAGAACGTATCCTAACCAGCGTAACCTACGAAGCGTGAGTAATTCGTCTACTGCGCGAAAGTCCCTTCTTCCTAGGACTATCTGGCGTCGATTGGCTCGTCTGCAAGGATCAGGTTTGGGTTTGATCTCACCCAATCTTGTAGCAGCACTTTACAGGTGTGAAGTGCATGCCAATTCGTGCGGCGGTATTTGAGTTGTTTAAAACAACATCGTCCGCATACTCAATATCTGTGGGGGAACGTCCCGGGATCTCGACCTCCTGGTTTTCAGAGGCAGGCAGAGAAATTTCAAGCGGAACAGTCCTGAGGGCTAGTTTGTTGCGACAAGGCACGTGGCCGTTGGAGAAAAATCATCCAGTTTTTTAGCGAAGACATTGAAGGATGGTTTATTATCATTTTATTTATTTATTCTCAATTCGACTCCGTCCACTGTCTTTATGTATGTATACGTGTATGTGTATGTGTATAATACATACTCGTTAGACTCATCGACTCAGGGAGGCATTACAAAGAGCGCAACAGCCCTGAAAAGCGATGCTTTTCCGAAAGCCACAGAACAGACTGCAATTAATTGGTTATAAGAATATCTATTTTACTCCAAGGTTTCCAACATGTTTCAGGAGATATCCTACGCAGTTCTTATGCGGATTTCCTGACTGCATAAGTATGAAAGGAAACAAACCGCAGTTTGCTGTAGAGATACGAATCAGCTAAGCTGTACTGTGGGCTGCCCTTCTTTACGTGTTCATTCCTGACTGTGTCGTACTGTTTACAAGTACCGCCAGGCGCGTACCACAAAACCACTGGTCTTACAGGTAATATACTAACTTCCTGTTGTAAGTCTTCTGTGAAAGATCAACTCCAGAATGCCTCATCAGTAATGCCATTTGCTGCCTGTTGCACACGAGTTTAAGAAAAGCCCTGTAACTAGATTCATAAAAGCTTGTGCTTCTCAAGAGAAGTTTTCACGCGAGTAATATTGGCCTATCCAAAGGATAAGGAACATTGTAATGCACAAAGACCTGTTCGTACGAGCGTCAAGATAGACAAGCTAACGAATCTGGAAGAAGAGATTGTTTAGATAGTCGTTTGGGTAAGAAGATAGGTGTTGTGAAAGAGCGATCAGGAGGCAAACAATATATAATTTGAAAGAAGGACACGAATGCTATACGTGCAACTCACTTCTGAGGATCCCTCCTGAAGGACCATTCACACACTTTCCTAACGCTGATATCAAATAATGTCCGAGTCACGTTAGTGTGTTATTTTTATTTTTTACGTTCAGCTGTAACACCATTTCGGTGCCTATCTAGGATGCAACCCGAAGGTCGAGGGCCGGGATAACTTCAGGTTGCCCAAGCCTGGACAGGGGAAGTCGAGAGGTAGAGGTCGGGTTCGAGCCAAGGAACTTCCGGTTAGTAAACTCGCGTTCTAACCACTGCGCTATTTGAGTTAACTACTCAGGCATTCGAGTGCATAGGTGCATTGCAACACCAGGTAAGCACACTGAGATCGTCACAATATGTTGATCTTTTCCTTCTCAGCATGAAGGCTGTGCAGCAGCGAAGCAAGGAAGTCAATATTGCCGTCTGTAATGGAATCGATGAGAAAATAAATCAAGGACAAATGGCCTGAGCAACAGGAGCTTCGAATTCCCGGAGACTGATCAAAATTTTATTGGGGACGTCCATAGTTGGGTAAGTTGTTTTGTTCATGAAAGCTTCGTCATTCAAAAGTCAGAATGGCACATGCCAGATGGCACTATTGAAAGGTATTGTCGATTGATTTTAATTTCACTCAATATAACAATCTCATCTGTGCAGAAACAACCGTTGCACACCAACTTTGTGGTGTGTCGTCCAGAGGTAGTGGCCTGAACAACACGAACATACAAACGGACAATCGGAACATCATATGCGACAGAAAGTGGCAATATTCAAATACCTGTCAGTCTGTTGCTAGGTGAAGTCAGTATCCAAACCAAAACAGTAGAGTAAATGCTAGTAAACACCAGGGTGATTGGGCGAAAATGGTACAAAAGTGGGCAAGATTTTGGACGTTGAAGAAGCGAGAAGCAAACTACTATTATGGGTCTTCAAACAAGATTGAAGACAAGTAAAATGTGTCCAATGTCATGAATGGAAGACACATTAGATGACTGGTGGCTGGTGGCAAAATATGAACTATAGAGTACTGAGCATCAGAAAAAGGGTTACCAGTAGAGAATAAAGAAGTGATATTCACAGGCCGGAGGCATATTTGGGGCCCCTCTCTGAGATGAATGCATGCTTTCACTGCTCGTTTGAAGGTCACTCGTGAAATAGGTTTTTCCCGTTTTGCAAGAAAAAAGTGATGAACGGCACCATGCAGTTATAAGTGAATTTGATGCCTCATATATACAATATGTCACTTGTCTCAAAGCGGAGACTTGAACAATCAAATGCAATAGCACTTAAGCAACCAAGGTAACATCTCATCATTCTGTTCGCTACGGAAACCAGTGTCTTCAGTCACACATTTCCTTCTCCCTAGAATAGCTACTTCAAGCAGTCAAACAAAGGTTCTCCCTGAGATGGTTGCCTCTGATGGGAAGGCTGAGCAAAGCCAGACCATCTTGAAATGCCTATTCGGAAAGGAGTTGTCTCTTGAGGGAAACGGCTGGATTTGGCCAATGGTCATATCCTACACTCTAGGATCAATTTACACAATGCCATGGTCTCCAGAGGTAAGGTCGACACTGAGAGGCAGTACTCTCCAGCATTAATTTTTGAAGATATAGAACTTCGCTCGCATGAGACGCCACAATGCTGCAATGTGGATACATCACAAAGTGACACCATAACTCTAGTGTTTCCCATTTTGGTGTGGGCTACTCAGAATAATCGTGCCAAGACAGCAGTGTTCAAACGACAGCGATATCGATAAATATATAATCCGTTACGCATGCAAATGAGACCGTGTACAATGAAACGGTCAGATCAACCAACAGACGGGTGAGAACTGTGAATGTTTTCGAGTGCTTCATATCATCCTAATTCGGCAAAAGTTCTCGGTCGACCAAAGCCCCATCATCATCAGAGACAGGGTGTGGTTCACAACAAACGACAAAAATAAACAAAACCAAAATGGTTCTGACATTCTACACACAGATGTAGGGGATAAAAATGTAAATAACCTAGAGTAGAGTTCAAACACATACTATCTAAAAAAAATAAGCTCCCTTGGATGGGACTAGATTTTGCAACGTCTTAGGAACCGGATTATTCAACCAGCTGAGCTATAACGGACGCCGTTGCAGGGTATGAGACCGCACGATGATTCTTCTAAATTTATTGAAACGAATGCAAATTGAGTACAAACGTCAGGTTCGTAGTGAATGCCACACAAAGGGTTCACATCTAGTGATGAAAACATCGACTACTAGGCCACTAGGTAGAGGTGCAGAGAAGCAATGTGGAATCCAGGTGCACGCACCAGACCCTAAATGGCGCCGACAGCCCAACCGACAGCGCATTCATCCATTAATCTGAATGCCGAAAGTTCACGTATACCCAAGACTAACTTTTTCCCTTTTCGTCACATAGGATTGGATTCCTGTTGAGTATTACTTTGTATGCCGTGGAAATTGCCCTTATGTAGCACCCCAAGTCTTCACAATCCACACACCTCAGACCTGACACAAAATGAAGTTTGATGGTAGTCACGAAAGATGGGATTTGTTCACGAAGACATTGGTCATCCCAGTCACACTAAGTAACCCAAACATTCAATCCGAACAACATCTCTTACAATGTCAAAATCGCGCACACCAAATTTCAATCCACAGCGTGTGTAGCCTCCAAAATAGGGTCCTGTTTTGCCGGAATTGCGGCTCCTGACCAAGTGATTCATTTGCATAGTGGGGTCATTTCGTTTGACAATAAACTCAAATGAAAATCTTTGCATAGGGATTGCAAGCGGTTGCTTGAAAGGACACTTTATGTAGGGTACAGGAAACGTTGTCTCGTAAATGAAGATGGCAGTTGGCTGAATCCCTAAATCCGTTATCAAGACTTGGTTAAAATATACATTAATCGTACAGTCATCTGTTGATTTGTTGAACCAACTCTGTAGCACACTACAAGTGATGTGCAGTTCTCCACTTCCATCTATCATCCTAATGCCCAAAATACAGCAATGAGCACGTCGTAACTGACTATGATCTCTAGGCGGAGCATATCACTGCTGTACAACTTATTCGCTCAGCCTACAAGGTTTTTACTGTTGAAATATCGGCAAACCTGGTGAACAGTGCATGCCCTTAGGCCACGCCAGACCAACCTAACTTGAAACCTATGGTGAGATTTATCATGAGTACACGTCTCATGAATTCTGAGTGGGATTTAAAACCCCATACTTCGGCCAAAGCGGTAGCTGGCAGATCAACAGGGTGACCTAAACCTGTCGGACCAGAAAAGCGAACCAGAAGATTACTTAGTTCAATTTTTCCGGGTGAACTCTTAAGGGAACCATTGGACAGAAAACGCACACGGTAGTGAGCTGTTAGTGGACTTTGTACAAACCTCCGATATGGGTTACTTTCAGTTTTGAAAGCACTAAGGAGCTTTAGGTATTGCCGCTTAAAGAGACACGCTTCGGGACTCGTTAAGAGTGAAAAACCTTGCCAACCGCTGCAGGTTTTAAAGCTAAAGGTTATCAAGGTGTGCAGTGGACGAGCAAAACAAGACAGGAACTGGTTCATGTTCAAAAACATTCTTCCCTAAAGCCGTTGGAGATACAACCATAACTGCAATGTAGATCGCTAAAATCACTACTGAATCTTGTTGTGAATATAATTCCTGTGTGTCTCTCTCACAGTAGAAATATGTTATGCGTATCATATTCACACAAATACCGTGGGTGAAACATAACAGACGTATACAGAAAGATGGGCAGACGTGAATTTACTTTTCCTTGTTCATCACATGGGGTCCACACTCCCATGAAATCTTTCTCCGTACATGGAAGTCTTCGGTTGCATTTATCCGAGCCGGGACCTGGAGGAGGAATACAGAGCGAAAGGATATAAAAATCGAGACGTTGGGAAATGAAGCACTCCATCGCTTGTTGACTGTAATAAACAGATAGCCTGATACGAGGTGGATGGCGAAAGCATTCAAAGTTCAACCACTCATGTGCCTTTTTTCGGTCTTGTAGGATTGTTGATTCAGCTGTGGTAGGGTACACTGCAACAGCCAGCCAAATGTCAGTTAGATCGCGGACTTCATATGCGGGGGGTTATTGGCCCGCAAAGTCATTTCCGTTCAGTCATCAGTCGAGTGGAAACAATTCAACGGCAGTGAGGTAGTGACCTATCAATAAACACTCAGTATTCATTCATGTTGGACCGAGGAAGGAAAATTCGGTATTTAGATCTGACTCAGGTACTTGACTATAAAAACGTCAAGAGTTCCCAGGGGCATGGTACTTGGTCTAAAGGCTTATAACTATCCTTCTGTCTAAAATTTGGTGTTTGTTATCATCACTCCACAAAATCTAGTCTTGTACATGTAGCCCAAGTTTCATCTCAATCGGTTGGATGATTTGTGTAGTCTGAAGCAGTTTCATCGTTATATCACGCAATTCCCGTCTGGGGCTCTCTGGGGCAGGTTATGAAAACCAATAAACTAGCTTAAGGACATCTGCGTGATCGGCCCAAGCCTGACAGCGTCATGTTCACTAGGGCTCTGTCTATGCATGTCCAGTCCCATCTTACGAAACTCCTGCAGAGGCAAGCGTCTCGAATGTTCGATAAGACGACTCGCTTATCTTTGCGCACGGCTAACCATGCGTTCGTGAGACATGACATATACACTTAATCAGGGGTTACTTGCACGTGCGCACGACCTGTTGTGAGTTGTTTAGCACCTGCACTGAAGGTTTGAAGACCTGATGCTCATCTGATCTATGCATTTGCTGACGTATCACCAGCTGGTGAGGAATTCTAAGGTACAATACAATTGGTGTCTGTGCTTGAGTGATGGACACACGAATCCAACGTTCGATTGAGTACCCGTCCTGGCTTGTGAAAATATGCCAATGGAATACGCACCCAGTTGAACACACTTAAACTGCTCATGGATTATAATACTTTATGATCCGTGTTGGGATTTAGATGAAGGAATGGCATTTATCAGAATGTGATATGCATCGGAGCTTTATTGGAAATGTCACTCTTCATTTCTGTGGAGTGAAGATATTGCTTCACAAATGCTCTCTCTGCACAGTGATGCCAAGAAGTTGCTTTTTTCTTCACGGAGAAAGAACTGCGGTGCAATATAGCAAAACACACAGTTCACAAATCCGTGGATCGATTTGCCCTTACCTGTGCGGTATTCAAATTTCTAAAACTAACCGCGGAGCTCATTACTTGGCTTTTTAGACTATTGATAAACAGTTTATGAATGAGGTCGCGCTTTCGGTTCATCGCTTTTATACAGAACATCTGAAAAGTGGTCACTCGAGCAGGGGACCATATGATGTGAACTCCGCGACTAAAGGAGAGTGGCAGAGTATCTTGTTTAAGTGTGACTTGATCAGACTGCCGATCAACTGCTTATGGCCGAACGGTCGAGCTACTGACCCCGATGTCGCGGGTTCGAATCGTAAGGTTCACATTGTTGATGATTCCCAAAGAGGATGAAACACCCGTACAGTCCTCAGTTTTTGGCATAAACCGGTTTAACTTACAAGACTAAATCTGTATTGTTCTATCAAAGTACTTGACTAGATCATATCAAGCTGCGGACGAGCAGTACAGTGCCTCGATCTGGCTAGGACGACTACGTCTGCATTTGATGCTCTAAGACAATTTTGGCTCTTTTGGCTAGGTGGAAACAAGGACATTTGCAATTAGACAAATGATGTTCAACTGACCCCTTTCATACTGTGATGAGCTTGATCAAATCCGAATAGAATACAGATGAGTTTCAAATAGCCTCATTCCTACCACTGTTTCTTAATGAGAGCTAAAGGAGTGGCTGGTAAAGCACATATAGAGGAACGACACCGCCACCAGGTGATACGTTCGTATGTGACGTTTTTCCTCTCAACATTTCAGACGGCACGCTTGAAAAACGTCCGCGTGACTTCAAACATTTCCAGAATCATCTGTGTTCGCCTGGATATCTTGCTGCACTCAGCAGTTATGCTAAACCCAGTCCAACTGACCATACAGAAGAAGCTTGCACGGATTTTCCTCGGTGTTCTGGTATTGATGATGCGGCTCCATTTCAATACGTGGCTAAAAATAGTATTTGCCAAAAAAACTACTGGAGAAGTGTGTGGAGAAGTGTCTCAAGCAGCTGCATCCACCATCCACACGGAGGACTACTGTACGCAGAAATGCTACCTATAACTGATACACTGAAAATCCGGGTGATCCCAGTGCTTGGGGGGGATAATGTTCCATTATCAAGGAAGTGGTTCAAAGAAGGATCCCTGAAAGGGTAAAAGTATGGGTTGAATTGATCATTTGAATGGAGCCATAGTCCCTCGGACCACACAAACTTCACCAGCTGCCTTATGACAAGAAAATCGTTAACAGACCTACTCGACAGGTCAGTTTAATATATTTTACTCCCTCTCGTCTTGTGGGGGCTCGGTATATCGGCCAGACGATGTGACTTGTTCAAATGTCCGAACACGTCCCACTTTAGCGGATGACACATCTGGAACTGTACACCGACGGCTCAACCTTGGCTCACTTAGCAGATACATCGTTTCCACACGGTTGGTAGAAAATCACCAATGGTAAGTTTGTTGCCAACCGAATTCGGAAAAATTTCCTTCAGATATCGTGTTTACACGAGCTACAGTGATACGGACGTCATTTCCTAACAGAAAACACCAGTACAAGTGAACAGTCCCAGCCACCAGCGCTTAATGGGTGCCAATGATCTCATGATCCGTGATCCCTGTGTTATCTCTTCTACCTAGTGCGCTTACTGCTTAATTGCCGATTGATCAACTTAGACACGTCCTGTTAGGAACGGTACAGTACATTCAACTGAACTGATGGGAGCACATACAGAAGTCGAAGCTGAACTCACTTGAATATTCGTCAACGGCACAGGCGCTACAAGCCTGGGCACCAGCGGGTGAAAATGTGTTCGCTGGACACGACTCGCACTGAGACATTCCTCCGGCGTTGGCGTAGGTCCCTGCAGGACAAGCATTGCAATGTAATATTGGTGGAGTCCCTCTGATCCGGATTTCAGTTATCTTGATAGAAGCAACTCGATTACCGAAGAGATAGCCAAAAGTGTTCTCATCAACAAACATTTCCCACTGTATCACATATCGTCCTTTCCGTAGTGGGGCAGAGACATTGTACAGCACATTTTGACCGGTTCTTTGGATAATGAATGTAGACTCAGGTAGGCGCGTACAGTGCTCGTTGTGAATCTGACAAAAACCGTGAAAATTGAAAAACGGTATCAACATGGTCAAACCTAATATGAGAGTAGATGATATGAGAGGAAACTGGATGGATCTGAAATCATCTTCGGTGTCTTCTGCACCCAGATGCTGTGTTGGTCAGACAGATCACAGGCACAGACAGACCACAACTCGGACTTTGCTCACATACCTACGGTCCACTCAACTACCATATGGTGAAGGGTCAACAAAAGCTCTACAGACATTTGGTTCTCGCTGGGGATAGGAAGCAGTTGAATTCAAACAAGCGGGCTTTCACGTGTGATAGGATAAGCTTCTTCTCTACGGACCAAGCAAAATTTATTAAGATTATCAGCAACCCGGTCAAGTAAACGGGAGAATCACACTTACAGGCTCAATATCATTTAGTTGTAATGATATTTTTTACGCCAACCGGCTTGAGCCAGTGATATCAGTTAGCCACCATGTCATTTTGTGACCCCAGCAAAGCACAGGGAAGGTCAAGTGGAAGGCACTAAGCACCAACAGAACCAAGTTTTCGTGACATCCTTCGTTCCCTTTGACCACGTCAAATTCTGTCCACCTTTAGGTTCCCACCACTCATTCACTTAGTCGAGGCATAATGCCTAGGTCGAATTGGTTGAGCCGTCCAACAAGCGGGACGCCTAGCATCTTGCAGGGTTGTGGACAGAACACTCCAGTATGAGCAAACAACAGAAGATGTGCTGTCCGAAACAGACTTCACTAGGTGATTTTGGGAGACTTGTTTCACATGAGGAGCTTCTCAATGACCAGGTGGGCTTGCGCAGCTAACGCGTCCCTGAAAATTGCGACGACAAACAGCAAAGAACAAGCGTGTGATCTGAATCCACATAAGTGCTGAAAAACGAGTTGAGCCACGCCAGCTGTAGCTGATGGCTATGTGATATATCTGTGCTGGAGGTTGTCTCTCACGCTGGGAGCACCAGGTTGCCAAGCGGCTTCAATTGTTCCGGAAGTTGGTGTCGCACAAAACAGTCTGCGGTCAGCACAAAACTGCGGCAAGTGTTCGCCGATGTCCGTGTGTCTTGATTCCATTCCACGACAATCACCTAATTGAGCCTCAGCAGCGTTACGTATACCTACTCACGCACCCACATCTCCGACAACCAAAAAAAATATCTGGGCTTTCAGCTCGTCGCAAGAAGGCGGCCAAAGCATCCTAAGAACTGTCTTTGACTGTACCACAGCTAAAGCCTGTTGGAGAAAGGCGATTACTATGAACAGACAGCGACGTCACGTTTACGGGATAGTTTAACAGACGTTGCCAAACGAGCGGCACGAAGTCCATTGCCAACGGACGATCATTCAGGCAGAGTCCGTTCAGCTCGGTGGCTCAGAACAATGACCATCCCAGCAGAATCAGCAGCACAGGTTTGTAAATTATCAGGGGGCGCAATCGGAAGCGAGCGAAAGCTGATGGGGTTTGTTCAAAAGTCGCACTTGGGTCTTGAATCCTCTAATCATATAGACAGCGAGTCCAGTCTACATACGATAGCGGTCTGCTTTAGAGCTGGTTTTACAGTACGAATGTTAAAGGTTGTGAGATATATTGAGCGCCTGGATCTGAAGAACGATTTGAAGAATGATGGCTACGACGTGGTAGATAAGTTATTCGTAGATATTGCGACTAGCAATGATGGGTGGTGAACGGACCTGTCAGTCCTTAAGGATGGATCTATGGTGATGCCACAGTCAACGAGGAAAGGAGGAGGAGATCAAACGTGTGAAAGAGGAAGGATTGAGCCTTCACTTCAGAAGGGATTGGTAAACAATCGGTAGTTTTAATTTGGGCAATGTTTCGCTTTTGACACAAAAGCTTCATCAGGCCAAGTGAGCAGATCACCAAGTTGGTCAGATTTTAAGGCAGACGGAGAAACAATCAGTAAGACCTCTTCGTATTGGCGCACTAGATCGGTTTTTGAATGTCAATTAATGGCTCTTGTCGGTTAGTGTGGTTGTCAAAATCTTGCGTTGATGGATTGGGGGAGTTTCAAATTAATTCTGATTGGGTTTGGTTCGATAATCTTCCACTTCAGGGCGCTTCAATTGATGATTCACCTCGGGTGCCACTGGGCTTTGTGGGTTTGTGAGTGCTGCGACAATTTAGTTGGGGGGGGATGAGGTCAAGTGGAAGTCAGATGATGACTACTACTCCTTATGATGACCGCACACCAACACGTGTCAGCTCGACTGATCCAAAACCGTTCTCCACACGCTCGCTAGTTCCATGCCTTCTATTCCGTTAAGACTGGGATGCTTGGTGATTACTACCGCCTCAACCATCAGTCTGTGAGGTGGACCCTAGTCCTCGCCTCAAAATCTCAACATTTTCTAAATCTATTTTGTGTCCCGTGTCCAGTGCATGTTCTGCAATTGTCGAGTCTTTGAGTAACACTCGATGTTCAGTCTTTACACTTGATTTCGTAGACACAGTCCCTAGTTCCGTTTGCCGGGAGGCGATCCTTCGATTGCACCAGTGCAGAGCGTTTCCCCTCTGGAAAGCTACTCTTATTTTGCCCGTGTTTAGAATCCCTCGAATGATCTCCGATGTCCCTAGTTTACATGGAATAACAGCCGTCCCGAGCCACTCCGTTTGGATTTCGGCACCCGTACCAGCGCCCTTCATAATTGACGCCTAATCAAACTAGTTGGATATCCACCATCCCGAAGTTTGTTCCTTACTTCGATCCGATCAACTTCTGTGCAAAGGGCCCTTACACGCTTAAACACTGCTGAGGCAATACTATCGAATACGGATTTCGGATGGGCAGGCGAGCAGTTCAAAACTGCCCAGTGATTGGTTCTCTATCTACCTTAAAATCTGGCCAACTTGGTGACTTGGCTTGATGAAGCTTTTGTGTCAAAGGAGAAACGTTGTCCAAATAAAAACTACTGATTGTGTACCAAGCCCTTCTAGAAGGATGACTTCTCAATCGGTTCCAAATTTTTTCCAGAAGGATTGAGCCTGTTTTCGCTTACTTACCCTACTGTATACAACAAATAAGGTCACCCGATTGATGTCAACGCGTGACGGCCGATGGGGCGTGAGATTAGTTGTAATTGTGCCATTCATAATTGGACGTGTGCCAGGATACTGCCAGGGTGCACACACCTAGAAAGAACGAGCAGAGCCCTGAACTAAAGTCATAGGTTATAAATCCTACTCACTAACCAACCCCGTATGAGGCACAGTGTAGCTTAATGGGTTAATAAGGTGCACAAACTGTCACACCGTGGTAAGGTCCACTCGTGAAGGGTGTCACGGGCCATATCAAATTCAGTATGCACTTTCCGTCTTCATGTCTTTGGCCAGAATTCGCCATCCATGTTGAAATCATCCTGTATTCTAAGCGAACTAGGAAACTAGCCTTTACCTTAATGGCTCAGTACAAGGAAATGCAAATGGGGCTGAAGCTCTACTCACTGACATTTGGTGATGGAAGTTTCACCTACAAACTGAAGAACAAGGGGTTGTGTCCTATGTCTCAACTGGATGGACTGCCGTATCCTGACAAATTGTAACGTTGCTGAAAATTCCTGGACAACTCAGCATCGGTTTAAACACTCCTGAGGACCATCAGGTATATCGATCCCAGTAAAGCATTACAAGAAACCGATTCAGTTTGGACACATTTGAGTATCCTGAAAAAACCAAGTTCGATTGCAAACTATTCCATAACCGTTCAGCTGTAACACCCTTCCGGTGTCTAGCTGCCATGCCACCCGAGGGACACACGAGGGCTGGGATACTGCCAGGTTGCCCAAGCCTAGACAGGGGAATTCGAGAGGCAGAGGTTGGGTTCGAACCACGGACCTTCCGGTCAGTAAATTCGCACTCTAACCAATTGAGCCATCTCGATACAATAATGCTTAACTGCTGACCAAACCATGAGCATAAGAAACAAAAAGAGAACGTGGAAAGCCGGAAACTTACTAGCTTCTTTGTGCTGCTGCCACTATCTCCAGCTTTCTCATGATGCTATACAATCGAGTTTGAAACTAACCTGGCCACAGTTAAGGATCGGCGCGTTCAATGTAGAGTGAAAAAACCGGTTGTATTTTATTTGGATGAGTTTCTACCGGAAGATACTTTTCCATTCGGAATGCTGTCACTTAAATGTGTGAGAATCAGGAAGTGGTGATGAAAATGTTACAGGAGCATGGAAGAATTGAATTACATCCCCACACTACACTCATTTGAGAAGTCCTCCAATCCTTACGCAAACATTCCGTTTAATCCACATGATAAAGAATTTCGTACTTGTTATGAATTGGAAACAGTGCGCAGGTACGAAAAAGTTCTCCCGTTTAGCAGTGATTACTGTGGCGCGTTGATGATGATGATGATGATGATGATGATGATGATGATGATGATGACGATGATGATGAGCTCCGATAGGACGGCACCCGATTCCAATGATTCCCCAGGTTTGAAGGACTAACCGGAATAATCGCGTCAGCACAGGAGAATCATTGGAACAAATATAATGTAGAAACATACATTACAGATAAGGCAGCTACTTAAAAGTGACGAAACGAAAGCCGTACCGTGGGCATCTGTCATCTTTGCTGGCAAATGGCTATAACTAACGGAACAATAAGGTAAGTTCACTCCACAAAATCAATTCTTCCCCCAAAAAAGCTCCAGTAACATTTTATTTAGCTGGTGTTACATTTGGCAGTGGATGACCGGCGTAGATTGTTCAGGCATTCAAGCAAACGACGCATCTCCACAAATGTATACGTGCACACATCTGCAAACAGCAATGAAATGAATTAACGACAGTTACCATGGGAACTCAGTGAGGACGCACTGCTCATCGGTAAAGTCTAGCTATGGTCGTTCAATCCAAAGTGGACGAAAGTGGGAGACTTACTGTGAAAAAGACCATGGTTGTAGTATCCGCGATATTGTACATGAAAGAAACTTCTCCGTCCTGTAGGTTGTTTAACTGCAATGATAAAACCGCAGAACAGCCAGGTGTCGCCTTGCCGAGTAGGTGGTCGCCCATAGGTGTCCATTGAGTACTGTGCGTGGTGAAGTTAATGACCGTTAAGGCTCAAAATTACGCTCAAAGACGTCAACTAACAAACCATTGATTATAAATTAGTCAGTCAAAAGTCAAAGAATCATACGAGCAGCTGATGATACTCATATGGGACTTTGAAAAGTTCGCTAGTAAGCGTAGCCACACTGTTGCTCTGACAAGTAACAGTACGACACTGCTTGTTGACGAGGCCAATAGCTCAACCTAACGATGGATACCAAAGGATAAAATGAAACACTTGCAGAAATGGAGACCGGGTAATGAACGGATGACGGACGAAGAAGTATCATAATGAACAGCATGCGATCGCGAAAAATGTTATACACTGGACACTAAAATACGGATGTTCGGAACATGACCACCCGGATAGAACATGCTAGCTGGTATACTATAGGCTTAGGTGGTTTTCGAATTCAGGTAATTGAGTTGCGAATTGCAGAATAATCATCATAAACAATGAGACGAGCAACTGTTTTCATCCTGGAGTACCGTTCAGACGAACTCGGTAGGATGTGGTGGCAATAAAGCCAGTGACCTTGATTAGACAGCATATCTTGCAACGTCAGCAGCCATGTTCAAGTGAAGTAGACCTTATCTTCCAAATCGGATCGCATAAACCACCTTTTCAAGCATCTGAAAAATCAAATGTTCGCCTGGGAGCTTGGGCGATGCTGATGAAAATGTCTAAAACGACGACCATCTCAGTACACGGCCGGGTCACAGCCATCCACGGTGCTAGATTCTTTTCCAATTTTCCGTTTTTAAATTTTCTCGTCACTGGTTCGTTCACATCAACCAATGTCACCAACAGATCTGAGACATCGGCAGCAGAAAATCTGGAGAGGTCTCAGATTATTAACCAGCAAATGCCATATACCACAAAAATCCAACAGCACTATCCACAGTACGGGCTGATACACACGACCCTTGAGATCCAAAGACATAGCTTCCGAACTCTACAAGTGACGCGAACCGGTAATCTGGTTCAAGTCTCACAGCAACGTGTGCTGACTTCACCAAACACACGTCCGTTGGAACTAATGAGACTGTCGCAACACTTAAGCGATGCATTAAATTTGGTGTATCCACAATTACGATCCTGCTCTCGGTTCATGGGCCGTATTGCACAGCATTTTGCAGTCACGCGGAAACGTAGAACCGAGAGGAGCAAAAAAACTGTGTGAAGTCTCATATACCAAGCTCGTCTGAGACGGTATGCATTGGCGATGTGGAGCAGCACAACATAAACATGAAATACAGGAATCCGTGAAATACACTAATTTGTCAACTAAGCTGGTTTTGACGGGATACTCACCTGGAACCCAGGTGGATCTCTTGTTTATGATGTGCATTAAGTCTATACACAAAGTTGTTCAAAATCAACAAACAGCCCGCCCAGCTACGTTGGTGCAACTACTCGAATAGCGAAAACAGCAGGAACAAACACTTTCCCTCATACTTCTGCACTTCCCTCGGTAAAGTTGTTTTCCTGTATCGGATGTAAGCAAACCAATCGGTCAGAAACACTTCTGTACTCAATCGATTGCGTCCTAAAATAGGTGCAAGCCTAAAGGTGAACCGAACCGAATCGGTCCGAACTGCGTTCCGTTGTCGCTTAGATGAACTGACTACTTCTAAAGCCGGTAAGAATGTCAGAGAGACTTCGAATATGACCATGTACGACAAACTTGGTGACCAGTACATTACGACCCAACTTTGTGCTGAACACATGGAAAGGCACACAAATGGGAAAAAAACATATTTGCTTCAGAAACTAACTAATGAAGCTTCAGTTGTGACGCCATTTAGCTTCATAGCATCGTCCAACTTGAAGGAAGAGCGAGGGCTAATAAAGACCCCAAGGCTGATGAAGCACAGAAAAGACTAACATAATCAGCGTGCGTAGTGCATGGCCAAGCCACTGACGTTAAACGATCTGGATCCTTTCCGCGATTGTAGTACCTGATGCACAACCAAATATCCGTTTTCTAATCATCTCGTTACGAATTTTCTCAAGCCATCCGACATCAAAAACGCTTCCGAGGCATCCGTGGTCAAAAACTGAAGAGGCGTCATATCACCTTACCGCACAGGCCGTCTCGCAACCATACAACAATGCAGCCCTTACTGTGGCCTAGTACACACGGCTCTTGAGACCCAGTTATATGTCTTTTCACGCCATAAGTGACACAAAATAGTAAAGGTTATTCCGGTCTTTGATATTCTTGAACTGACTTCATCAGACAGACTTCCGTCAGAGCTGGTATAACTACCGAGGTAAGTAAAATCCTCCGGGATCCTCCACTGATTCCCCTTGAAATGTAAAGGACGTGTTCAAAGACTGTCCATTCTGAAGCATTAATTTGCACTTTGAAGGTGTAAGGCGCATATCGAAGGATGGAATGACAGCGGTCAGTTTATTCAACAGAGGTTTTGCTTCGCCTTCGACAATATCGCCTGCATACTCCAGATCGACAAGTTTCTCACCAGCGAAAATTTCAACAGCGCGGTATCTGAAAACCTTTCAGCATCCCCCTCACTATTTTAACAATGGCAAAGTTGAATAAGAACGGGAAGTGGACATCCCTGTCGGATACAGCTTTCTGCAAACTCACCATTCACTCTCACACGGCGAGTAGTATGCTAACATAAAGACCACAGTATGGTCACAAGAGTTCTAATGCATAACTTGCTGAGCAACTGTTTAAAAGCACTAATTGACCGATAGAATCGAACGCACGCTTGAGGCTAAGGAACATCGAGATTGTGAATCGTCTGAACACATGGCGCTGTTCCAACAAAAGCAAGATGGCACATCAGTAGAAATGTGTACTCGACCACTTCTGAGGCTGGAAGGTGTTCCATGAGCACAGTGCACTTTTCTGTTGAAGTTAGTAATCCGGATTCGAGGTGGCAGGGGAGAAAATGAATTGTTGTACAAAGCACCGTACCAAAAGTCGAAAGGTTCCAATCCATGCATATCAGAGAACAATTTTGTTCCCTGACTGTATCGCTCACAAGAGGTTTCCGATGGGGATTCAGACGAACCAATTGGAACAGCCCGCGAAGTATCCAGCATTTTTCGCCAAGTACATCGGCTCGCATCGACACACCGTTTCACCTAGCGTGGGAAGAGCCAACAGGCCGTTGTGATTGCCACCACGAGGAATCTGTCGTTGGGCATCCAACGAAACCATGGTCCATCAGAGATGCGGTGTTTCCAAGGGTTTGACTGGGTTCTATCGTACCAAGTGACCGTTAATATCTGACGTCGCACCTTCCGGCAAGCTTTCGACGAGCCGGCTGGTAGGTTCGTTTGATTCTCAGATCCACCACCAGCTTCTCAATGGCTAAATGAGGTATGCACGTTTTGTGGACAGGAAAAGCGCGATGAAAAACAGCGGCGGACAACTGCATGGGCGGAGTCCACACCGTAATTCCAGAAGAAGCGGTAGGTAGTTATCGCCCTCGCCACCGATAACTGATGGCGATGTGGTATTTTTGGATTCGGGCCGGTTCATTAGTGACCACCACGTCATCAGACGAATTCCACTCTTCCACTGCTCTGCTTAGACACAGTCTGTGATCGGCACATATCTAAAGTAAACGATCTCAAAGGTTAGATAAATACCAACGGGTATCCTGTCAAATAGTGACACTTCCGCTCGATCATCCAACCCAGTATATCCAGTTGCAGCGGCCTCCGCATCTTCAGGGATACGCAACGGGAACATGGAAGAGAGCAAGGAAGTGTCCGTTCAAATACAGTACTGGCGTCCTTAGTTCTGACAGACAGCATACATCTATGCACAGACGATCCAGCGTACCAGCAACACCCATTTGTCGTCTTGCTTGCTTTCGCCTACGAACATTAAAGGGACCTACGTAGACCGGCTTTCAGCGGTCCAGAAACAGACTTCCAAGTGTTTAGGGTTGATACTGAAGTCGGACACGCAGAAACTGCAGCTGCGTGTGGCTCATGGCGAACAAAGTGGACAGCCCTAGTGCTAGGACCTGTGGTGAAAGTAGTCGAATTGGGGTGGAGTAAGGTAGAAGAGCGAATGCGTGAAGAGAGATGTCAGCAGTAGCATGCTAGCGACCGGCACGTCCCCTGATCATAATGTAGGCGGAAACCGGGCGAAATAAACGTCCAGCTTAATGTCATCGGTGGACGGATAAGAAACCAAACTAAACCATATGGAAAGCACTCAAGCGACAGCAAAGCTTAGTGCAGATAATCTGTCATAAAAATCCTGGTCACGTAGTTGGTGGTCGCGGCCAACCACTTCAACAAAAGCACTCACGAGTTACACCCATCAGGCATCTGTGAACTGTAGGTAACATCTGTGGCCAGCTCGGTTGGAATTGTCTTCCACTTCGAAAGTTCAAGCACGTTTCCACGAGAATAGGTGCCAGCAGGGCATAGCTTGCATTCTTGAGAGTCCATGTCTAGATAGTGACCGGCTGAGCAAGTTTTGTCTGTAAGGGTAAGCACAAATGATAGGTAAACCAACTCACCACAGTTGTGTTGACGTCTGGGAATGCTCTCCCTTGTCAACAAACAATCATTGTTTTCTTCAGGCACCTTGAAAACCCACCGGTTACCCCTCGCACTGCAATCTGATGCTTCGTAATGGAGACTGGACTGCGAAAAATATTCAGTGGAAGGGAAGTACACAAACCGAGGCACATGACTCCCCTTTCACGTGCAATAAAGGGACAAGAGTTAACAGTATCCAAGGAGATATGAGAATAACCATAGGAAAAGCTGGAAAACAAAGGCAGCGGCTATGAAGGTCAGGAAACAAACAATTCCCACATTCTGGTGACTCGTTTTGACCTACAAACCCACCTACGATTCTTCCAATAGTAAGCATTCAATCCCTCAGATACACACATGGGAGCTGTGAGGTTCCAACTTTTGGCGGTTCGGCAGTGTACCACCTCACACAATTCGCTGCCCTGTGAATCATTTCTTCCAACCCAAGACCGTCCAAACATGGCAATAACATCTAAAGAGATGGCTAGCCTATGTTCGTATACGAAACAGCCTAGCAAAGTGGCCGTTCAGTAGTGACTTCTCACAAGTGGGCCTTCTCGTTTATACACACTACGTGTCACAGGACCTAAACATTATTCGTACGCGGCTGCTGGCAAACCCGAGAAGATCCGCAAACAAACACGGTGCAACGACAGCAGCCGTCAGGATGGAGGACCAGTCATGAAGACAATGGAAACTATCGTGGTGACGACCTGTGAACCTCAATGATAAACTGAGGTATACAGCGGAGTTTCACTTAAATACCGCAGAGTTCCTTATACCCCGTCCATCAGTGAAGGGGCCTAAATAAAACAATCGCCTGGCCCTCTAGGGGTTGGAACACGTATGGCAATTTGTTCTATAGCAATAAAGATGCAGTTACATTTTCTGTCAAACACCGCCGCCCTACTTCCAGACCGGCGACTTCCTAAGGTGAGATACATGAAAGACTCGACTGTACATGAAACAGTCAGTCTAGCCCTATTATGTAGTGGGATTAACCAGGCTTGCACCAACATGTTGCATTTTGGTGATGTTCAGCTGCGACACTTTCGGTGCTTAGCTGCCATGCCACCCGAGGGAAGCACGAGGGCTGAGATACGGTCAGGTTGCTCAAGCCTAGACGGGGGGAGTCGAGAAGCAGAGGTCGGGTTCGAACCACGGGCAATCCGGTCAGTAAATTCGCGCTCTAACGAAGGAGCCATCGAATTTCTATCCTAAGGAGTCGGCCGTTGTTTCGAATCCGCTTTCATCGTCAGTAACTACTGTCGCAGCTCCAAAATTCCTGTACAAGGCTTTGATGCATACCACGATTGCTGACGGTAACGTCCCGGAGGCGAATGTCTAGCGTAACCACAGGCTCGGTAATCAAGGATCCAAATTGCTCTTGCGCCAAACAGTATCACAAGTAGTAATCAGGGTATTGTTACGCACCACTTCGCCACAATAACATTTATGTCAACGCGCTAAACTTATTTACTTCCCTAAAGGCGTACCGATGTCTTGCTTGGATACAGTTTTTTGGCAGTCAAAGGATTGTTGAAATCCAAGTCGGAGGTATATATTCTTCCTCCTAACTTTTCTTCTTCCTTCTAACTGCTGCACATATACTCTCTCAATCTCTTTTAGACCACTTGTTCCTGGCTATCAACCGACAACTACCAAAAAACAGAACCGGAGATGAATAGTTTATCCACTTCGAAGTTCATGGAGTGCTCAAGGAAGTTGCCAGTGAACTATCATGATCTCTCTGGAGAACCCAAGTGCCAGTTTCAACCAACAAAGGCACGGTCATTGACTACGGTCAAACAGTGAACATCGCTCTGACGCGTATCTAATTCCGAGAGTAGACATCACCACTGACAGTAACACCAGATGAGAACACTGAGGCTTCAATGCCGTACGGCATTGTACACAATTTATTTGAATAACACCTCGTAACGGAGGAGAGAAAAGGACAGGGAGAGGTACTTAGAACCCTACGAGGAAGGTCCTCGGTTCCGGAGCCAATAGGCACAACAATTCCACCGCAACCTTTGCATCAAATGTCAAATCACCTGAAGTTCCTAAACGGCAGCATCTAGATGGTGAAGGTACTGTAGGAGCGATTGTCCGTGGATAGCACATTGGGGTGATAGAAACGCAGTAGGTATCTATCAATATGCCGAGAACATATCAAGGTCTTTTGTCCAGTTTCCTGCGACCAGAACCAGGGGACAAGGTCTGGGACGCAAAGGCGATGCGGCATCAACAAGCGGTGGCTTGCCGTCAGTCGATGACTTAGATACTTCAGTCTGGCTGAGGTCTACAGAAATGCAGAGGGTAAATACGACAGGATGAGTGGTTACAGATAACGTTGAATGATGGGTTTCAGCTATAGTCTGTTTTTACTTCTTGGCCTTGATTAATGAAGCAAACAAGGCACCAGGGATGATGCTGTTACGTGAAGGCCGATGTGAAATTAATGGTATTCATTCGATTCATGCTCGCATATTAATGGAGATGATGTCAGGGGGCCAAAACCCAGATTAGATCGCTCAAACAAATCATATGGATAGAAGCCTGGTCGCAAAGGAGCGTTACTGGCTTGAGACCATCACAATGTCACCTGCGAAGGTGTTCCCACAAATATGTCCTGGCCTTATTTGATTTCCCCTACACACGCTGCTGCACTTTCGGACACTGAATTCACTCTCGACACTGAATTCCGTACGCACTTGGTGCTCGGCAGCATGTTTCAAACTTACTTTTCACAGACAGATGGTGCATGGATCCATGTTCGAACGTTCCGAACCTGTCGAGGAAATTGCGGAGACGAGCTGCATCAGTTTACAAGTTTTACGCCTCAAGAAGTTCCTCGTAACCATGGCCTCACAGATACCGTAGAAATTTCAAGTATTACGTGAACAACGTTCCTTTCTAGAAATTCACTATCAGTATCTGCATATGACTGAGGTACACCGAAATTCTGAGCACTTATGGTGTAGAAAGTGGCAAATATGAGCCCCCAACCTCGTCACCATAACAAAGGATCAGTTCGGGTGTTTCACCTCCTTGGCTGATCTTCAAACCTCACTTGATACAGATATTCGGACTGGGATACTGAATCGGGATCAAGGTCGCAAATATGACCATTTAGAACGAACTCAGATCTACTCCCACTGCCTCGAAGGCAGAACAACATGCGTCACATGCTCCGAAACCATGAAATGTCAAATCTGAGTCGCTGAAGGACGGCAATCATCCTCAAGACGGAGAGCGGCTGAAACATGACGTCGGCTATATGCATGTGTTGCGAGCCGACTGTAAACTAAGGGAAGCCGTTCACCAATTTGTCAGATTATGGTCCAATCAGAATCGGGTATTGCTAGTCTGACCTTGAGGGGATTTCTGTGACCACCTGTGAATAAAGCCCTCGCGAGTTTGCTTTTTCCCTCAAGGAGCACTTCAGGCTTCTATGCCTTTCAACATTCCATAGTGGGCTGAGATTCAGGTCAGGGACTAACATAGGAGTTTTCACGGATTTCACGGATTGCTAACCAAATCTCAAATTAAGTACACCAAGCTAAGCGAATTCGACTTTCTCGTTATTTCCACACCTCATTCGCCTGACCGAAACTTGGGTTATGCCCACAATCGAAGAAGGAAAAATTTGAATATTTGGTACATGACTGATACCTTTTGTTTGTCCTAAGAAAAGTCAGTGGTGTGTGTCCTTGCCGCTTATCTTATGTTCCAGAGAGGTGAATCGGTTTCGTCTCCGCCTGCTTAAGTGCAGCCGCATCATTAGATGGGCAGAAACACTCCGTCCAAAGGGGTTTTCGACCGATCAGTATCCACCAAGCCTGGACTTCACCCTCCCCGAAAATCCTTCATGGTTGACAATACTATTCTTAATGTGACCAATGTTACCAGTTCCGGAAGCGTACTAAGCAAGAACGGAAAACAAAATCGTCCGCATATAGGTGACAGCCGACGTTCAACGAAATATTTGGGTATGAATAGCAGGAACAAAACCTCGACCGATCCTATCACCCTGAAGAATCTGGGGTTAGTTATGGGTTGACAAATAGGCCCCAGCATCCATTGATTCGTCCATTCAGGACGAATGTTGTCCTCTGCTGTACCAACGACAACTTTTCAGAACAGTTCTGCATCACGCGCAGTGCACGTACATCAAGTAGTGGGCTTGCAGATTTACGATGAATTTAATTCTTGCTCGTCTCCAAAGGGTACTTGCTTGCACATAATACTGTAGTGCACTTCTGCGCACCATGGAAGCTCACACCCACTCCCCGTTCTTTAGCTACATCGCGTACTCCATTCTACCTCCATGGCTCAAACTGTAACTGCCGTCTAATTTGACTCCGTGACTTGTCTGTCTCAGTGGCTTATGTTGTTTTCTTGCTTGGACTGCCCTTCCTGTTTTACTGGTCTGGTTTTACTCTTGAGCGGATAAAATATCTGGTGGCTAAAATTATTCAGTAGTGCACAGACCGCAATTATGACTGCTTCGTGGCACGCCACCTTGCAGGCCTGGCAGTGTACGTGATGGACAAAAACCTAGTGTAATGCTTGGACACGATCTGCACGGAAGATGCACATCCACGACTTGATAATAAATTGTTCTTTGTGGACAATCTCCATGAATGAGAAAAAACATGAACACGGTAAAGTGTAAACATTTTAGAAGGGATGATTAGCAGTTTTTCGGAAATACGTTGCGTGGTGTAGCTGAATAAAGTGGCTGGTTTTGTTCTGGGGGGAGAGAATGTGTGACATGTAAATGTTTTTTAGTGAACATGACCGCTAAAATACACCATGAAAAAATGCTGGATTTGTGTATAAAGAAGGATAAATGTGCCGTAGGACAAGAAAATTTTAAATAACACTGATGCATCCGGCAAATTCAGAACAAAAATCTCCATTCACCGGCGGTTCAGCCATGGGAAGAATTCTGTTTACGGTAAAGAGTTGGAAACAAAGAACACTGAAAATCAATGTAAGGAAAATAATCCAGAAGTTGCCTTTAGGCTGAATACAATGGTTCTGTTCTCCGGTTCTGTCAAATTTTGCTGCAGGGTAACTCCTAAACAGACACCATTGTCTCAAGTATTCCGGCAAATTGCGCACGTTTCTGCGCCTAGGTGTATTTGGATTAGCAGATTATCAACATAGAGACAATCGGCCTGATACTGCCTCACGAGCATCTTCGGTGCCAAGAGAGGGTCTGCTTAACTATTGGAGAGAAGGCCTCATATGCAGTAGCTTAAATTTAACGAATGATGAAAATGAGACGGCCTCCAGGGTGGTGGAAAGCATTTCAGTGAAAACGGT